CTGAATGGCTCCGGAATTTCTTGAAAGATATTCCATTTTGGCCCAAACCTTTGGCACCTCTTTGTATATATTATGATAGTCAAGCAGTAATAGGCAGGGCCGGGAGCGTTATGTATAACGGAAAATCTCGTCATATATGACGGAGACACAATACCGTTAGACAACTACTCTCTACTGGTGTTATCACAATTGACTACGTAAAGTCAAGAGATAACGTGTCGGATCCACTTACAAAAGGCCTATCTAAAGGGACAGTTGAAAGATCATCAAAGGGAATGGGGTTAAGGTCTAGGACAAGTCATCATGGCGGTAACTCTACCTAGCAGACTGGAGATCCCACGAGCTAGGTTCAAAGAGATCAAACAAAGTTATGAATGACGGTTCAACATTGTCAAATAACTCAACCCATTCTCGTGATGAAGACAATGTTCAGAAATCGAGGTAAAGCATTAAGGCTTTTTGATGAGTCAACAAAGCTTAAAGGTTTTTTAATGATTTGCTAAGTCTGGCAGGATATGACCAGATAGTGTGTCTATAGGATTACACGTTTAGAAATCACCTATGTGAGTGTGAAGTGTAAGCCGCTTCAAGGGGAATGAAAGTAAAGGCCCATTCTATAAGCACTCATGAAACCGGGCGGTGTTCATGGCTGAAACGAACACAACCGTGANCTGAAACGAATACAACCGTGAGAACCATAGATGGTTAAGGATTGATTGTGTGACTTATGTTGTCTAGGTATACAACAAAGCTCGACAGTTCAAAGATACCAAATCTACCGATTGACCGAGTATATCCGATATAAGTTCACTACGGAAAGTTCAAAAGAAAACCTACTTATCCAGATGCAATTAATTCTTGCATATAAAACACACACGAGTCCGTGCATTCCTTTATTTTATAGCCTGCCCCATTCATGTGGGTTGAGATTTTAAGCTTGTGTAGCTTAAAGAGGGTGAATGAGAAATGGAGGGAAAATAAAATATTTGAGTTTCCCTCCTTGGCAAAGGGACATTGTCCCATATTGGAGGAAGAAAAGACTTTTGATGGGTATATATATAATTTCTCTTCTTCTAGCTCTTAAAGAGTTAAGAAGAAGGCAAGCCTCGCACAATCGTCGTCGTCGCTCGCTCGGCTCGGCTTTGGCTTCTGATTCAGATTCGGATTCGGATTCAGATTCAGATTTGGATTTGGTCAAAGGGACATTGTCCCATATTGGAGGAAGAAAAGGCTTTTGATGGGTATATATAAAATTGCTCTTCTTCTAGCTCTTAGAGAGTTAAGAAGAAGGCAAGCCTCGCGTCGTCGTAGTCGTCGCTCACTCGGCTCAGCTTCTGCTTCGGCTTCGACTTCGGTCAAAGATTGATTGATTAATCTTTTTGGACAAAATTTCTTTCAATTAATTAATTAAATAATTAACGAAAAATTCAATCCGTAATAACCCATGACCCGCGACCCGGTCCGAGCAGGCCCTTTTTTTTCCGGATTATTTTAAATCCATTTTCCCGCAATATTTCAAATAGTTCCAACAGCCATGGCTGTTTCTGAAAGGTTGCAAACCTTTTTAGAAACAATGCCAGCAACTCTATAAATAGAGTTTGAATCCTAGAATCTTTCCTTACGAAATTTTCTAATCTTCTTCTTCTTCTGCACAAAAATTCCAGTGTGTTTTACAGCCTTCGAGTGGCTCGATGTTCACCGACGTTTTGGTACCAACACTCCGGTGAGTTAAATCGTTCTATCCTGGGAGGATATATTCCAGCACATCGGGTACCTGAGGGGATTAATTTCCTTAAGGACGCACTGTGTATTCAGTGGGCTCGATTTATTCCTATACTGTTTTTCCAGAATTTATTTCGTTAAACAAATATTACTAACTTTCTGTTTTGTTTATATATTTCAGAAAGTTTAATTGTTTATTACAACAATACAGATTTATAACAATTATTTCGCTGGCACAGAAATGCAAAATCAATGTCAATAAAAAACATAGAGAATACGAAGTGAAAGCAAAAAGGAAAATCTAGACAAAAAGTACCCAAAATAAAAGCAAAAGGGAACTGCGGGAAACAAAATAACATGCAACAAAACTAAAATTACTACACTGAAAGAGAAACTTACTTTAAAAAATAAGATCAATATTATATAACAGTATTTTCACACCCAATATACAATATTATATAATATTATACTCTTATTATAATTTTGTATAATGTTATATAATATTGTATAATGATGTATAACGTTGTATACAAAAACTAAATTTCATCTTCACTTTCTTTTTCAACTGGTATGGTTCCCAAAATCAACGTCAATCAAACACAATCAATCTGGCACTCAAGATTCATATTACTACAAGATTTTACAATAATTTTAAACTTAACCCATTCACTTTAGAGTTAGATTTTTCCAAATCCGAGTTGAACTTAGAGCTTCAAAACTCCTTCAATGGAGTTTTGAATATGGCTGCAACAAAACTTCAATTTTAAATTTGGACACTCATCAATTGAGATTCAAATATTTGAGTATTCAAGTTAGAGTAAACTTGAAATTGTCGCAACAGTTAGAGGCCGGTTGCCACAACGGGGTTAGAGTTAATCCTAGGTTTACAAAAGTGTTTTATAAATGAAGTTTTTGGATCAATGATTTAGTGGAGAGTTTGAAAAAATCCTACTAAGAAGAAGGTTGTGATTTTTTCACTTTTTGAGCCAGGTGTTTTCCATATAAAATACTTGTGTTCTTTACTTTCCGCATTTACTATTTCAGTAATAGTAAGTTAAGGAACATTTAGAAGAACCAGGTCCTACCATAATCAGTTTAAGCGAAAAATTGAACTCCACACAAATTACCCCCCTCCCCCTCTTGTGTGGTATTGAAGCAACAATTTCCTTCCACAAGGAACTGCTTTTGTTGGGTTAATGTATTTGGGCACTAAAACAAAGATATATGTAAGAAAATATTGTATTCATGGCTTTACTAAAGCAGTGGCGTGCACATAAATATTTGTTAGCGGTGTCACTATTAGACGTAAAAAAATAAATAAATAAATATAATATTATATTTTAAAACACAACTAAGAAAAAAAATACAACATTCAAAGAAAGCAGCAGCGTCCCTCCAATTTAAAAATTGTATTGTGTTTCCTTTTGGGCACGCATTGTTTTTAATTTTTTTAGATGAGGCATAAAAGTATTAAAACATAAAATGAGCCTAAGTTGGTTCGAACTCGTAGCCTCACATAGAATTCTTCAGTTCTGACCAGTTAAACTACAGAGTTCTTAACGACAAGTGATGCCACTTTATTCTTTTTATTGTTTTCTTGTTTCTTCATTTGAATTATATACAAATAATTAGTAAAGATTTTTGACGAAGCAGTGTCACATAATACCGCTTGGCCTAAGGTAGATCCGCCCCTGTACTAAAGGGTATAGACTTTCGTGTCAAGAGGTTCACCATTCTCGTGTTTAAAATTGAGATTGCTAATTGAGGGTGGAAAGATTCTAAATCATTCCACCACATATGCCTCTTGTGCATGAGTAGATTAAAGCTTTAACTTGTCCATATATCACGAAATATTTTGTGTATCTCACACAACTGACTCTAATTGTGTGAAGATCCTTTTGTCTCATCGTAAAAGAATTTTAAAAATAAAGTTTTTGCATATCCACACTTCAATTACATTTTGCTATTGTTCTAATATTGTTATTAGTTCCCTGATCCACGATTCAGTCTACCTAACGATAAAATCCAAGCTAGAGATATATTCAAAATGAAAGCTTCCTCAAGTTACTAAAATTTGATCTGCACAATATATATGCTTAGATACAAATAAAGCAGATACCCAAATAAGTATTCAAAAGAATTTTTGCATTTCATGCAGTTATTTTTATGAACTGGATAACGTCTCATACGCTCAAATTTGAACCTCACGAATCGTAGTTGGAGTTTAAACTTATATAGGTTTAAACCCTATAACCCTAAAAATTGTTATTGTGGTTTGAAACTTCAACAAATTTTCATACTTAGATTGTGAAAGTTTGAACCTCATAAATCGTGGTTGGGATTTGAACTCATAAATGTTTGAACCCCAAAAATCGTTCTTGGGGTTTGAAACTCCAATGAAAAAATGCACACTTATAGCCCTTGGCCAAGCTTATCCAAAGGCCACAAGTATTTGTTTTTTCAACTTATGGTGTTTGGTTAAGCTTTTTTGGGGAAAAAAAATATTATTGGGAAGAAGCAAAAGCAGATTCTGAGAAGCAGAAAAAAGTAGCTTCTTACTAATAGCAGAAGCAAAAATAGTTTTGACTTTTCTTCTTACCAAAAACACCCTTAAATGAATATAGTATATACCAAATAACCTTACTTATTTTAAACTTAATACTTAGGATATTAATGTATTAATATTTCTTCTTATTTTTAGGATAACTTTCTAATATATAGTAATTTTAGGGGTGAATTCTTTTATATTTGTTGAGTAATTTTTAATATATTTAATCATATTAAAAGAATTAAAGTATTTTTTAATTTTATTTTCATATTTTACTTAAATAAAATAAAAATATTTAATTATTGTTTTTAATAACAAATTTTTGAGATTATTTAGTTATTTATAATATTAACTATTAAGCAAATATATTCATGTCCTTATTCGTAATTTGATACTTAAAAGCGCTTTTTGAAAAGCTTGGCCAAACATAAATTATTGCTCAAAAGTATTTTTCAGAGTGACTAGCCAATCACAAACTGCTTATCTCCAAAAGTGATTTTGGAAAAAGTACTTTTTAAAATAAGTTGATTTTTCCAGCTTGGCCGTACAAGCTATTAGATTGCAAAATTTATTCTACTTTTTAGTTAGGGGTATTTTTGTCTAAAACATTTTTCGTGTCAAATGAGTGACTAAATAGTAAATACAAATAGTTTTTTAAATACTAGCTACTCTAATAGCAAGAGTAAAAAAGTGGCTATTTTTCAATTTCTTCCCTCTACCCAATAACAGGAAAATCTCCTTGCCGGCCCAAAAAGTACAGGCCGGTAATACCCGACGATGTTTCACATTCTTCAATATTACACTCTTAATAGAAGTTCTCACACCGCCCATCGCCGCCACTACCACCGCCGATGATCTAGGGTTTCGACAACCCCGGATCATTCTCCAATATGGACGAAAAAGGCGGCACAATGACAAACCCTAAGACAATACAAGAACTAGCAGTGGAAGGGCAAAAGCATTTAGAAGACACAATAGAAGCAGCACATCAAATTCTCTCCGCCATGAACGACGAGCTTTGTAACCCTACACTCTGGTCTACTACAACAAATACTGCTACTACTGCTAACGCCGTTATGAATAACGGTAACGGACATCAGCATTCAGTAAACGGGGACGTTTCGTCAGATAATTCTTCATCTTCTTCTGCATCGGCTCAACAACACTCGGAGATTGGTGGCGGTGCACTTGATGAGTCTCGTTTACGTTATAAGTTATCGGTTGCTTCATTGCGTTCTGTTCTTACGGCGATTTCTAATTCTCAGAAGGTAATTTTACAAATAGAAATGCTTATTGTTGTGTTTTGTGTGTTTGTGTTGTAATTGTTGTTTTGTCGGATTAAGATAGTGATCGAAGTAAAGTTTGTTTGATATAATCCTGAATTAACTATCGCGCGATTGCACACTAGTTGGGTTCAGCTGTATGAAGCTTTTGCTAGTTAGGGTCCATTAGGCGAATAGTATAATCAGTTATGTCAATGAATGAGGAGCTGGTAGTAAAAAAGAGTGTAAAATGCTCCAAGGCTTTGGTTCAATGCTAGCGGTAGCCTGGGCCGGAGCTAGCTCTTCGGCTATGGGTTCGGCTGAACCCACAAGTTTGAATATGTAAAAATTAGTAATTAGTTTAGAACCCAGTAAATTAAAAGGACTCTAATATCGAACCCGTAAGTTTCCTATTCTGGCTCCGCCTCTAGAGGTAGTACAGTGTCGGATGCGTGGTAGGTTCAGTAGAGTATTTCTAGTGTTACAACAACAACAACAAAGTCAGTGTAATCCCACTAGTAGGGTATGCGGAGGGTATAATGTATGCAGACTTTACTTCCTAACTGAAGAAGGTAGAGAGACTGTTTTCGGAAGACCCTCGGCTCAGGAAAGATAGAGAGGAAGGAGTAACGGCAAACAACAACACCAGCAAACCAAACAGAAAACCGAAGTGAAAGAAATAATAAGCAATAACAGAAATCTAACAGTAAGAAAATACAAGACTAGCATTGAGGAATGCATTAAAACTACTGGAACGAGCAAGGACAACGCTCGGCTACCTAGCCTACTACCTTAATTTATGACCTCTACACCTTCCTATCCAGGGCTATGTTCTCGGTAAACTGGAGAATTTTCATATCTTGCATGTTCACCTCTCCCCAATACTTCTTCGGCCTACCTCTACCTCTCCTTAGGCCCTTCAAGACCAACCTCCATACCTCTGCTATGAAATGAAGTGGGGCCATTTGGAGTCAATGAATGCGAGGATTCTCGTACTCGAGTGTCAACTAGCTTGAGGTTGAAGCATAGCAGTCTGTTGGATACTTCGAGTTTTGATTAGGAATGCAAAAAAAGATTTAACGTAATATAGTTATCCTAGAAATTTTGTCCATTGTGGATATTGTTGAAAAGAAAAGTATCATCCAGTGTGAACGGCAGAAAATATTTGGAAAATGACATTGTATAACCGCTCTAAAATAATAGCATATATATATATATACACACACACACACATATACATAAATATACAAATTTTATACACTTTTGCGGCTGTCAGATATAAATAGTTTCGGCCGCGGGCTACAAGTGATATTTGTCCAAAAATATTATCTAGCGGTAGTGGAAAGTTCTATCAAGTTTGCCTTTTTTTATGGGGGTGGGGGGAGAAGAAAGGTGAATGTTTTGGCAAAGGAATTTAGTGATATTGATCTGGGAGTGGTTATATCTGTTGTTACAATATGCCTTTACAACATGAACAACATTTGTACATGTCTATTTTGTATTTTGATATTCTTATCATTTATAAGACATGAGGATAAGCATTTCTTGAGTTAAGAATATAGATTCACTTCTTTTATTATACATTATCATTAGCTGACAAAGCTCAACTGCGCTGCTTACAATTTGTATGATTTGTCTTGTTTCCTGGGGTTTGTGGGTGGTTTGGCGGGGGAGGGGGGGGGGGGATTCGACTATGTTTTCCAGGTTGTGCTCGTTCCTACTGTCTGAACACTCATGATGAGTAAGTACTTATACTAAGATAAACTACTACACTTTTTTCCTTTTCAGGAAAGAATGAGCACCATAATTACATTTTAGCTCCTTGGATTTGATATATGGATTGCCTTACATTTGTGCATTTGGAGACTCTGGTTGAAGGGTTTAGAATTTTGTAAGCTGCTTCTATTTGTTTGTTTGACAAATAGATCACTGACATCACTTGCCTTTTGGTCACTCAACATATGTGCCACTACACATTAGTTGAGTTTACTAAGTTCTTTTAAGAACATAATACTTCTGAACTTCTATATTTGCTCCATTGTAACTGCAAAGTTGTCCAAGTCCCCTTCGTATTCTGTCTCATGGTTTACATGTTATAGTTGCTTGTATGTTCTGGAAAGTTGTTCACTTGTTGTGTGATGCTTCACACTCTTCACTGAATATGTTAGCTAGGCAAAAGCGTTGGAAGCTGCTTCTGCCAGTGGTTCATTATCTGCTGCAGATCAATCTGAAATTGAGCAGCTGGAGGATCGCGCTTCTACATTAAAAAAGGTATGGACAACGTATAGAATTTTGAGGTCTTGGAATTTCTCTGAGATTGTTGTTGGTTTTGGGGTGCATGGTGGGTGGAGGTTGCGGAAAGCAATGTGTATGCGAACATTAGGACCCTGATTGGTTTGGGTATTTGCATTTCCATTAAAACAAGATTGAGATATGCTGCATGTTACCTTTCCATCGCGGACGTCCCTAGATGTCTCACTGTACAAACTTTGACAAGTCTCGCTATGTCTCACCAGCTCAAGTCCGAACAATGTGACTTTTTATGTCATGAATTTTGTAAAATTTGTAATCCTCTTTTATTGCTTTTTGTTTCCGCCTTGTGGCAGTGAAAAGTCTTCACTGGAACATAAGGAGTTTTACTTGACTGCATGTGTATATATTATCTCGTGGTACAAGAAGAAAACAAGTTGCTAATCTGGTCAAGAGTAAGCATATTATATTGTTCTGTGCATTGCAGGAACTTGTAGACAAGAACAAACATCTCAAGCTTCTGATTGATCAGTTTCGAGATCTTCTTTCTGACCTATCAACATGGCAAAGTCCCTGTTCTACATGACTCTGATGCTATAACTTCAAGCAGATAGTTAAACAAGAGAGATGTTGGATGACAAAAGAACAGCGTTCAACTCTAGGAAACTGTTTTTTGTTGTACAGAGGTTACTACGTGATCCAAATACTTGGTTATTGCCAAACACCTGTTATTCTATGCAACTTAATGTTGCTCGCGGTGCTACTATTCTCTCTGTTTAGATGCTTGGGCTGAGATGTGTAAGCATGCATACCTGAGGGAAGAGGGAAAGGAACAACAGGAAAAGGAGAATGATTTTGATCTCACTTGTTATGCGCTTATTTATTTTCGTGTACACTATAATTTTCCCCTAAGTCAAGTGAAATAGTTTAAACTTAAATAGAGTTCAACATGGAGTGAATCGATCTCAAAGCTATGCATGTATGCTTTCTTGAATGAGGAAACTGAAAAATGTTTAATTAGTAGCATTCCTGTAAAGCTTCCTTGATGAGGTCTCAACAGCAAAAATAATGTTGGAGACAATTTCCAGGCTGCTCATTTCACACTTGAAGATTGACATAAAGATCACTATTTATGTCACATAGTGGTACTGAAATGATGAGCATCCGGCTGCTTGTAAGCAGTTGTATATTGCATTGGGTATGTTCTGTATTCTCTTCTCCATATTCTCAATTAAGGGCATATTCTGAGTATAGAATTTTAGCCTATTCATTTCACTACCAATTCTATCAACAACCATGCTTTGAGTTTCACTCACATTATATCCATTTTCAGCATACTCCCTCTCTTCCTTTAACTTGTCATGTTTATTAAAATTAAAATAGTTGTTTTCAAATTTTATCATTTAAATAATCAAGAAAGAATATTTATTTCTAACTTTACCCTTAATAGTAGTTCTAGAATTAAAAGGTACGTGATAGAATTCACTTATTTATTGAAAATACATAATGTGGTTAAAGATTAATTAAAATAATTAATAAAGGTAGATTACTCAAATTACTCTTATTTATATTTTCTTAAACAACGTATAAAAAATAACAATGGGGAATAAAGGGAGTAATTCATATATGTCGGCTGAGTTGGTTCGGTAAGTGGTTTCTCACACGGGAGACCTGAGATCGATTCTCCTTACCTGTAGCCTCCTCAGTCAAAGCTCGTCGCACCGGGCTTACCTAGAGGAGTTTACATTAGTGAACACCGTACGTGGTAACGGCCATAGGTTTTCCTAGAAATTCTCCATAATTCATATATGTTCACTGGACAAATCAGTCCGCCCACGTGGCAGTTCTTTAATCAATTTTTTCAACCTTAGAAACAACATAAAAAGAAACAACATGAAAAGTCAATTAAAAGTACAAGCTATAGAACATGTAAAAAAGAAGCTTCTCATAAAAATCTCAGTTACATAAATCTTAGTTTTGCCACTAATCACCTGTAGTTAGTATCAAGAATAGATAATGTGAATAAAAACTAAGTGTTAAACAACAAAGTCCAGCCATCTATTGGCTAATTACACAAATTAAACAGTGAAATTAGACTAACAATTCTGGTCTTCAGCATCAGGAGGAATCACAACAATAGCCAGCCATCGATTTGAATCTTTTCTAAACGACCACAATTGCACCACCATATTAACCTTCAAATTACTCCTCTCACAAACTGAAATCCAGTCATTCAATAACACATAACATGAACTCGAATTCATTGTCCACTTAGCCAAATGAATACTGCTTTCTTCAAGTGAAGGCTCAATGAGATTGAACTTGATTTTCGACTTTTTATTACAATAATCATCTTTTGTTTCCAATATCTCCTTCTCTTCTGGTGTCAAGAACTCCTCATTTATCACTTGCCTTGCTGGTATTGACAAACGCATGTGTTTTTTGCTTAAATCAGTAGTATAAAGAGGCTTTTCAATCACTAAAGAAACTTCAGATATTGGAACCCCCATTTCTTGAATCTTGTTCTTCAACTCCACTGGCAAAATAGCTTCTGATTTAACTCTCTTTGTACTAGTCATGAGCCTCTTTTTTGGCTTTTCTTTAAAAGCCATTTTTATCTTCTTATTTTCCCTTTTAATCACATGTTCATTTCTCAACGTAGACTTTCTTTTGCTTCTTTTATCCCTAGGAACAAGGTAATAATAATGATCAATAGCATCTACACAAACATTTGGATTTTTCAAAAAAGCTTCGTGTTGTTGGATATAATATTGAATCAACTCTTCACGTTTTCGCCTCTTCAATTCTTCCTCCATTTTTTCTTCTTCTAATTCTCCTATAGAAATAGTACTGCTACTACTACTTTCACCCCTTGATGATAAACATTGTGTAACACAAGACTCAAATTTTGACGTCCCATAATCACAAATACCAAAAGTATTACTTTCTTGAGCCATCCCAAGAGAAACAAAGAATAATTATATGAATCTTGATATATATATATATATATGTATATGATCACACGTAAAAAAGAAAAGAGTATTTTCCAAGAACTTCTGATGAATTGATTCTCTGTTGTATTTGCAGGTTTCAACAGAGACGTATATATAGACTAATAGGAAATCTTGATTCTTGTCCCAGTTCTAACAGGAGTAGGGGAGTTTGAAATTATTTCTTTTAAGAAATAAAATATGTAATTCAAATCATTATTAGGGTTTTTATTAATGACATCTTTTTGACCATTTGTTGTCAGCATATTACCTGTTATTAATCACATAAATTTTATTTTATACTAGGTTCTTTAAGAATTTGATTTTATAAATAAAACTAAGCTGACTTCATTCTTTTGTTTTTATACTAGTTCTTTCCTTTTGTTCACGTAAATCTAATTGAATCAATATTTTTACAACTTTAGCTTTGTAAAGTTTTTTCTTTCAAGGTCTCGATAGATTTGTTTCAAGCTAACTAGATAGCGACACACTCCATATTAAAGTTAACTGGGAGAAATTGTGCAAGTTGGAATAATTTCAGATAGTCAATTAGATAAAAACTTTACTATTTTTCAGAAGTATCTATATTGATTATAGAATAATGTTAACGTGCCTCAGTTGAAAGAAATTTTTTAATTAATAAAATATTGCAATTAAGATCAACAATGTCTAAAGAAAAAAATTTAATTAAATAAAATTGCTATATTATCAATTAAAAAAAAATTATAAAAATTTGGCAACTTAGCATCTAAAAAGTCTAGGAGAATAAACTCTAAATAAAACTCATCAATATCTATAGTCTATACTGTTGTAAGACAACAAAACTTGAATACAAAATGTTTATCCTTCAAACAGTAAATCGTTATTGAAAGCAATACAAGATCCGACCAAACAAGAATATTATAGAGAAGTTTGACTATATATGAATAAAAAAAATTCTTCGTAATATTTATATCAAGAAGAAACGATTTAACTTTAAAAGTCACAAATTTAAGGTGAAAATATGATCAAAGTGATAAAATTTTATGTACGTGACAAAGTCTTAGATTACTTGATTTGGTAAATATATGAGTTGTAGAAGGGTTAAGTTTTTTCACTAAACCAACCTTATTTGAAAGATTAACCTAAATAGCCGTCCACCTAATCATTTAAATTATAAATTAATCAGCATTATATAACATATGTATAATATTTATATACACACGCGCGCACACACACTAATACCAACTATATTAAAAGTATGAAACCCCTTAGCAAAATATTATTTGCCTTTTTAGGATTAAAAGGACTAACTAGAAAGAATTTAGGAACTAAAGTATTGGTTGTAATATATGATGACAAATTGTCAGATTTAAAGAAATATATAATAAGCTTAACGGAAGTACATAACAAATAATGGAGGAATATTCTATATAAGCCCAGACTTTATGATAAACCTGACGGAATTTGGAAAAAGTATTAAAATAGGGATACAGACTAAAGGATATGAAGAAATGAAAAATAAAAATAATTTATTAATATGTTTAGGATTCATAGGAAAAATGGCAACTAATAGTAATACGAAATTTAAATACACACACACACTAATCCTAACTATACTAAAAGCATAAAACCCCTTAGCAAAATATCGTTCGCCTTTTTATCTTTTAAAAATAAATTCACATTGGACAACATTGTAATTTTATTATTTACCTAATATTTAGGACTTTGAAATCAACTATAATTTTATCTATTAAATCTTCTCTTATTTATACCATATAACAATCTCTAATATTTAGGAACTTATTCACCTAGGATATTGTTTATCCATAAAACGGTACAGTTGAATTTATAATATGATTTACAGACAAGCGAATCGATTTGATCCCATAATAATAAATAAATTAAATAAAATGCAAGACTTAACGTTGAAATCGAGATAAGATAGCAAACAACTTGGTTCCGGGAGCAGGGCTTCCAAAGAAAACAATAAGAATATTGAAAGACAAAAAATAAAGTATTATAGAGCTTAGAATAATGTGTAGCATAAGTTTGTCAGAATGACTAACTGTTGAAGTTACTATTTATAGCTACACCTAAGAAACAAGGTCCTAGGATCAAGTCCCTCTTAAATGACAATTATGGAGGACATTGATGAATATATAACGACATGCTATGAATGCCAAAATTCTCTGTAACAGATTGTGTATTTAATACTGAGGAATATTCTTCATTGAGTGTCATCGGGTGGCAAATATTTGTTTGTCCTCGTTATCAATGTTTTCTTCGGGGTTTGCCCGATGCTAACCGAAGCTGCTATCCTCGATCTTGGCTTCCACTTGCTTTATCTTCCGTCTGTCTCTGGTTTCATATGTCGCTCTATTATTAGAGTATTTAATATAAACTGATTTTACCCTATACAGATATTCTCTCTGCTTTCTGGTGGAACATCTTTGTGTCATCGGAAAGTTGGTGAAGATTTCTTTCTTGGCGGAAAATTTTCTGACGCTTGATTAGACGCACGTATCTCTGTATTTAATACCGGGGGACACGTGTCACCCCACGATTTAGCAATATTTTTTTCGGTTCTCTAGGTAATCATGGCCATGATTTTAGCCGCCAATTTCTTTACTTATACGCCCCATTCTTCTTCTTTTACACTTCACAGTTCTACAAACTCTCTCAACTTCTTTGCATTGAACTCTTTATTGGTTTCAATCTTCTTTAATTTTCTTCTTCAAAGAACTCTTATTACTTTCTGCTAATCATGGCTTCTTCTTTCAAGAACTTAGGTTCTCTCAAAGAAAACACCGTTAATGCTGACCCCTCTACCGAAGACTCAACACAACCAAGGACTTCAAAGCGAAGTTTCCTTCTACAAGTTCTCGTACATGGGCTGTTGGCATATATGATAAGTGTGGATTTTAACCACTTATTAGTACTTTCTCGCTTTAATTTTAGTCAGAAATTTCTGTTTCCAAAACTAATGAAATTGTGCTAATTGCAGGAATATTGGAAAATTGGACTTGAATGAAGAAATTTAATTCAAAAAGG